TTTAAGAAACATTATGTATTACGGCTAAGGTTTAGAAGAAAATTTAAAAAATATAAATTCGTCGATTTGTGTAATTTATGAAAATCATATGATAAAATATTGGATGTGACAAATTGTGCGCATGTTATGTGAGATAACTATAAGATATCAGGCCTGTAGTTTAATATTCGATTCTCTCCACAGGATGTAACTTGATTAAATAAAGCTACTAGTGTGATCTGCCAAAGTGAAGCAAAAAAAAATTTAATAATACTAAATAATACTAATAATAAGAAATTTAGAAAACTCATTTTATAACAATATTTAGAAACTTCATTAACAACAGTTTGTATCAAAAAAATTTTAAATTGTTGTTAACTTCTGATCTTGAGTCTTCAACCTGCTTTTGGTATTAGTTGGTACAAGTAATCATTAGGGCTAAACTAACTATTTTTAATTTGTATTACTATTTATAATTGATTTATTTATAAATATCTTTTTTTTTATCTTCATTATAATCAATTGTGTATTAAAGCTAAATATAATGATAATGAAGTTTAAATAAAATAATAATACTAGTATTTATTAATTATATTTTAGATATTGTATATAAAGCTAATATAAGTATTTTAATTGATGATTTGCTACTCAACCAGAGAGAGCTCATAGAGTAACATAATACAGTTTATATATAAAAATTAAAGTTTTTGGAATATAAGCTGCTTCTATTTAAAACTTTTTTTTGTACTAAGTTAACTATCTTTGGGCCTTTAATTGAAGTTGTAGAGCTCATTAAGATAAATCTAATAGTAGTTAAATTGTTAAAATCGGGCTTGTAAATTACAAAATATCTTTAAAAATATTTTGTTAATTATGTAAATTTTTCTTTTAACAATAGTATTATTGAAAGAAAAGTTTACATAGTTAGTAAAATGTTTTTGAAGATATCTTATAATTTACAAAGCTAATTTTGATAATTTAACTACCATTAGATTTATCTTGACAAGCTCTACAACTTTAATTAGAGACCCAAAAATGATTAATTTAGTACAAAAAAAAGTTTTAGATAAAGACAGCTCATATTTCAAAAACTTTAATTTTTATATATAAACTGTATCATATTAAAAAAAAACAAAAGTTGTAAAGTTTATCAAAATATATTTAATATTGTAAAAATATTAAAATTGGCTTGGTGATTCTTGAAAAATCTTTAAAAAACCTCTTGCTAACATATAAAATTTCTTTAAAAAAAAAGCAATTTTTTTTAAAAAAAAATTCATATATCAACAAAAGGTTTACCAAGCTAATTTTAATATTCTTACAATATTAAATATATTTTAATAAGCTCTACAACTTTTGTTAGAAGCTCAAAAATAATTTATTTAATTGGTAATTCACTAGTTAACTAGTAAAAGGTCATAGTATAAAGGACGTGCCAAAAATCAAATGATTTTTTAGAAGGGAGAAGGTAAAAAAAAGTTAAAATTATATATAAGAACCTGATTTTTTTTATATTAAGAGAGGGAGGGGGGTAAGCCTCTGATAAAAAATAATCAAGTAATAAATGATACTGCCCTAACATGATGCAGTTTATATATAGAAATTAGAGTTTTGCAAATATAGGCTGCATTATTCTAAAACTTTTTTTGTACTAAGTTAACCATTTTTAGGCTTCTAATTGAAGTTGTAGAGCTCATCGAGATAAATCTAATGGTGGTTAAATCGTTAAAATTAGTTTTGTGGATTATAAGATATCTTTGAAAAATATTTTACCAACTATGTAAAATTCTCTTTCAACAATAGTATTGTTGAAAAAGAATTTTACATAGTCAGCAAAATGTTTTTTGAAGATATCTCATGATCCACAAGACCGATTTTAATGATTTAACTACTATTAGATTTATCTTGATAAGCTCTACAACTTCAATTAGAAGCCTAAAAGTGGTTAACTTAGTACAAAAAAAGTTTTAAAATAATGCAGCCCATATTTGCAAAACCTTAATTTCTATATTGTATGTAAACTGCATTATATTACACTATGACCTCTCACTAGTTGACTGGCGAATCACCAATTAATATAAAAAAAATTTTAGATAGAGATACTATATATTTAGGCTTATAATAAAATTTATATATAAAAAAAAATTTGAATCAGATAATTAGAGAATTACCTATTAAACAAAGTTTTATTAAGAAAATTATTTTTATATTTCTAAATAAAATTATAAAGTAGATTTTTTTAATTCTAACAATAATATAATTATTAAATTAGAATTAAAACTTAGTGTAATATAATTATTTTAAAATTTAGATAATATTAATGTTTACAAAGATCATATAACATTAGCTAATTAGAATCAAGCACTTTGTACTATCTATAAAATTTTGAAATATTATAGAAAAACTTTACAATGCATATAAATATATTTTTTAAATTAATATTATCTCTAAAAGTTTGACTATTTATAAATAGAAGTTTGTATCCACAAGCTATAAAATTTTGATAAAAATTAATTGTAACTTTAAAAAATTTTATCAGTAATATATTTTTTGTTATCTATATAAAATTCTGATCTACTATATAGGCTATATAAAAATAATTGATATTACTTTCTACTCTTAATATTTTAAAAATATTTATTAACTGCTTTTAATTTATAAGTAAATATTATAGAATGAAATTTTCTAATTCTAATAGTAGTAAAATTACTCAAATTGATTAAATATTTAATAAGAAATATATATTTGAAGATTTTTAATATGTGGTACAGGTTTAAGCTGATATGATCATCACTAACAAGATATAAAGTAAGTTTTGATTTGTTGAAATAAGACAGGTATATAACTACCAGCTGACAACCAAAGGAAAAAATGTCTCTAGCAAGTTAAAGACCCAGAGAAAGGCTAATAACTACTAAAGCAGATCATATCAGGTATAAGCTTGATGAGCTTTCTGTTTAGTTAGATTAATATAGCTATAAATAAAAATTTATGTAATTTTTTGAATAGTTTTAATTTCAAATAAACAGGCAAGATTGCTAAATTACAAAAAAAAAAAAAAAAAATTTTGACATGTAATATCAACCAATCAAAATCAACAATTTTTATATAACTCTAAAAAATTTGATAATCTCTGGCAAATATAGAATATATACAAGTATTAAAATTTATATCATTGTAAAAAGTATATATTCTATGAAATTTTAATAAAAATTAAACATAATTATAACAAGTTTTATTAGTAGCATCTTCAATTTTTTGGTAAAATCAAAAAATTCTATGTAGATCATATGAGTGCCGCCAAGGGAAAATGTCCCTCTGTAAATTATAGTATATTATTAATTATTTATCTGATTCAGCCCTTCTGATTAATGATTAGAGGTGTTAAAAAGCTTGATGGACCCGGTCCTTAAGTCAACTTCACACAGACTTTTTGGAACTGACTCAAATCGGTTTCGGACAGAGTCTCAAATGCAGGGGTGCATGTCATTTATTCTATGTGATTGGCTAATTGACACCACTATTTAATAAACTGGTATTAGCGTTAGATTTAAAAATATTCTAATGAAAGGTTGCCATCGAATTTAGAAATTGTTATGAACTTTGCTTATAAAAGATATCATTAATAGCATGTATTCTTTAAATAAAAAAATAGGATCACAAATGCAATATGATTAACAATCGTGATAGCTTGTAAATGATTTAATTTATTATAACAAATATACTGTGCTTATACAAAAAAATTACCCAGATAATTGAAAGTATACCATCGGGTTTAGAATAAATTGTTATGATTCGCTTATAAAACATATAGGTCAGTACACAGCAAAAAGAGGCTTCGGGACGAATTTTTTATTTGTAGATATCAATATTTAATCAATTAAATTTTAAATCTAATATATAGATAAAAAAAATACTGCATATAAAATTGTACAAAGTTTATTATGCTAATGCGAGCTAAAAAATTTACTATACATGAATAAATCACATATTTAGAAATACGATTCAGTAAAAATCTCAACCTTGATCAAAATGTCTCTAAACCTTGTTTGCTGTATACTGACCCATATCATTATTAGTGTGTTTGTTAAATAAAAAATAGTAAGATTCCAAATGCACTTGTCTTTATTTTTTATGATCAACAATTGTGAAAGCTTGCGATTTTTTTATTACACAATTAATCCCGATCACTATATCAGGATCACAGAAGATTAATGCTGATCCATATGTGAATAAGCGTCAACTTTGTTTTCGCTAATTCCCAATAGATCAGGATATTATTACAACTATCAAAAATCTGTGTTAATTAAATTATACATCGTGCAATTGTTTTATATTAAATTATGCATCACGCAATTGTCTTATATTAAATTAAATTAAATTATTACGCAATTGTTTTATATTAATTAAATTATGCATCGCGCAATTGTCTCATATTAATTAAATTATTATGCAATAGTCTTATATTAATTAAATTTACACAATTGTCTTATATTAATTAAATAAATTATGCACTAAAATGCCACATTATGTTATTTGAACAATAACTCAGATCAGAAATAAAAAGTTAAATTTTTTTTCACGACTCAATTTTATTTTATTTTTTTTTTAAAAACACATACATCAAATTTTGTTTTCTTATAAATATTTTCAATGTCTGACTTCAACTTACCCGCTTTTTTAACTTTCGATTCCACTTCTTCAATATCTAATCCTATGTCTTTAGAAGTTCTCGATCCTGTTTCTTCAGAAATTCCCGATTCTGTTTCTTCAATTTTTGATCTTCTAGAGGAAAACCTTCATGAAAGTTACTCAGAAAATGATCCTATCAATAATGTTATTAAAAACAATTAAAAAAAAAGACCATCATCCATTCATGATTATCTAGAGGTACTTGACAATGGAACCCGCATTTGTGAAATATGTTCTAACATTCCCGATATTAAGAAACCCAGTCAATAGAATCCAGATACATCTTTGTCGATGATATCACGCTATTTCGAAAGCAAGCATCCAAGCCTCTATAAAGATTTTAAACGAAAAAATGCAAAAATTACCCATTCTACATATTCAATAACTGATAAAGTTAGCAGAGATCGCATAAAATCTTTAAATCATGAATGGATGATGGTCTTTTTTTTTAATTGTTTTTAATAACATTATTGATAGGATCATTTTCTGAGTAACTTTCATGAAGGTTTTCCTCTAGAAGATCAAAAATTGAAGAAACAGAATCGGGAATTTCTGAAGAAACAGGATCGAGAACTTCTAAAGACATAGGATTAGATATTGAAGAAGTGGAATCGAAAGTTAAAAAAGCGGGTAAGTTGAAGTCAGACATTGAAAATATTTATAAGAAAACAAAATTTGATGTATGTGTTTTTAAAAAAAAAATAAAATAAAATTGAGTCGTGAAAAAAAATTTAACTTTTTATTTCTGATCTGAGTTATTGTTCAAATAACATAATGTGGCATTTTAGTGCATAATTTATTTAATTAATATAAGACAATTGTGTAAATTTAATTAATATAAGACTATTGCATAATAATTTAATTAATATGAGACAATTGCGCGATGCATAATTTAATTAATATAAAACAATTGCGTAATAATTTAATTTAATTTAATATAAGACAATTGCGTGATGCATAATTTAATATAAAACAATTGCACGATGTATAATTTAATTAACACAGATTTTTGATAGTTGTAATAATATCCTGATCTATTGGGAATTAGCGAAAACAAAGTTGACGCTTATTCACATATGGATCAGCATTAATCTTCTGTGATCCTGATATAGTGATCGGGATTAATTGTGTAATAAAAAAATCGCAAGCTTTCACAATTGTTGATCATAAAAAATAAAGACAAGTGCATTTGGAATCTTACTATTTTTTATTTAACAAACACACTAATAATGATATGGGTCAGTATACAGCAAACAAGGTTTAGAGACATTTTGATCAAGGTTGAGATTTTTACTGAATCGTATTTCTAAATATGTGATTTATTCATGTATAGTAAATTTTTTAGCTCGCATTAGCATAATAAACTTTGTACAATTTTATATGCAGTATTTTTTTTATCTATATATTAGATTTAAAATTTAATTGATTAAATATTGATATCTACAAATAAAAAATTCGTCCCGAAGCCTCTTTTTGCTGTGTACTGACCTATATGTTTTATAAGCGAATCATAACAATTTATTCTAAACCCGATGGTATACTTTCAATTATCTGGGTAATTTTTTTGTATAAGCACAGTATATTTGTTATAATAAATTAAATCATTTACAAGCTATCACGATTGTTAATCATATTGCATTTGTGATCCTATTTTTTTATTTAAAGAATACATGCTATTAATGATATCTTTTATAAGCAAAGTTCATAACAATTTCTAAATTCGATGGCAACCTTTCATTAGAATATTTTTAAATCTAACGCTAATACCAGTTTATTAAATAGTGGTGTCAATTAGCCAATCACATAGAATAAATGACATGCACCCCTGCATTTGAGACTCTGTCCGAAACCGATTTGAGTCAGTTCCAAAAAGTCTGTGTGAAGTTGACTTAAGGACCGGGTCCATCAAGCTTTTTAACACCTCTAATCATTAATCAGAAGGGCTGAATCAGATAAATAATTAATAATATACTATAATTTACAGAGGGACATTTTCCCTTGGCGGCACTCATATGATCTACATAGAATTTTTTGATTTTACCAAAAAATTGAAGATGCTACTAATAAAACTTGTTATAATTATGTTTAATTTTTATTAAAATTTCATAGAATATATACTTTTTACAATGATATAAATTTTAATACTTGTATATATTCTATATTTGCCAGAGATTATCAAATTTTTTAGAGTTATATAAAAATTGTTGATTTTGATTGGTTGATATTACATGTCAAAATTTTTTTTTTTTTTTTTTGTAATTTAGCAATCTTGCCTGTTTATTTGAAATTAAAACTATTCAAAAAATTACATAAATTTTTATTTATAGCTATATTAATCTAACTAAACAGAAAGCTCATCAAGCTTATACCTGATATGATCTGCTTTAGTAGTTATTAGCCTTTCTCTGGGTCTTTAACTTGCTAGAGACATTTTTTCCTTTGGTTGTCAGCTGGTAGTTATATACCTGTCTTATTTCAACAAATCAAAACTTACTTTATATCTTGTTAGTGATGATCATATCAGCTTAAACCTGTACCACATATTAAAAATCTTCAAATATATATTTCTTATTAAATATTTAATCAATTTGAGTAATTTTACTACTATTAGAATTAGAAAATTTCATTCTATAATATTTACTTATAAATTAAAAGCAGTTAATAAATATTTTTAAAATATTAAGAGTAGAAAGTAATATCAATTATTTTTATATAGCCTATATAGTAGATCAGAATTTTATATAGATAACAAAAAATATATTACTGATAAAATTTTTTAAAGTTACAATTAATTTTTATCAAAATTTTATAGCTTGTGGATACAAACTTCTATTTATAAATAGTCAAACTTTTAGAGATAATATTAATTTAAAAAATATATTTATATGCATTGTAAAGTTTTTCTATAATATTTCAAAATTTTATAGATAGTACAAAGTGCTTGATTCTAATTAGCTAATGTTATATGATCTTTGTAAACATTAATATTATCTAAATTTTAAAATAATTATATTACACTAAGTTTTAATTCTAATTTAATAATTATATTATTGTTAGAATTAAAAAAATCTACTTTATAATTTTATTTAGAAATATAAAAATAATTTTCTTAATAAAACTTTGTTTAATAGGTAATTCTCTAATTATCTGATTCAAATTTTTTTTTATATATAAATTTTATTATAAGCCTAAATATATAGTATCTCTATCTAAAATTTTTTTTATATTAATTGGTGATTCGCCAGTCAACTAGTGAGAGGTCATAGTGTAATATAATGCAGTTTACATACAATATAGAAATTAAGGTTTTGCAAATATGGGCTGCATTATTTTAAAACTTTTTTTGTACTAAGTTAACCACTTTTAGGCTTCTAATTGAAGTTGTAGAGCTTATCAAGATAAATCTAATAGTAGTTAAATCATTAAAATCGGTCTTGTGGATCATGAGATATCTTCAAAAAACATTTTGCTGACTATGTAAAATTCTTTTTCAACAATACTATTGTTGAAAGAGAATTTTACATAGTTGGTAAAATATTTTTCAAAGATATCTTATAATCCACAAAACTAATTTTAACGATTTAACCACCATTAGATTTATCTCGATGAGCTCTACAACTTCAATTAGAAGCCTAAAAATGGTTAACTTAGTACAAAAAAAGTTTTAGAATAATGCAGCCTATATTTGCAAAACTCTAATTTCTATATATAAACTGCATCATGTTAGGGCAGTATCATTTATTACTTGATTATTTTTTATCAGAGGCTTACCCCCCTCCCTCTCTTAATATAAAAAAAATCAGGTTCTTATATATAATTTTAACTTTTTTTTACCTTCTCCCTTCTAAAAAATCATTTGATTTTTGGCACGTCCTTTATACTATGACCTTTTACTAGTTAACTAGTGAATTACCAATTAAATAAATTATTTTTGAGCTTCTAACAAAAGTTGTAGAGCTTATTAAAATATATTTAATATTGTAAGAATATTAAAATTAGCTTGGTAAACCTTTTGTTGATATATGAATTTTTTTTTAAAAAAAATTGCTTTTTTTTTAAAGAAATTTTATATGTTAGCAAGAGGTTTTTTAAAGATTTTTCAAGAATCACCAAGCCAATTTTAATATTTTTACAATATTAAATATATTTTGATAAACTTTACAACTTTTGTTTTTTTTTAATATGATACAGTTTATATATAAAAATTAAAGTTTTTGAAATATGAGCTGTCTTTATCTAAAACTTTTTTTTGTACTAAATTAATCATTTTTGGGTCTCTAATTAAAGTTGTAGAGCTTGTCAAGATAAATCTAATGGTAGTTAAATTATCAAAATTAGCTTTGTAAATTATAAGATATCTTCAAAAACATTTTACTAACTATGTAAACTTTTCTTTCAATAATACTATTGTTAAAAGAAAAATTTACATAATTAACAAAATATTTTTAAAGATATTTTGTAATTTACAAGCCCGATTTTAACAATTTAACTACTATTAGATTTATCTTAATGAGCTCTACAACTTCAATTAAAGGCCCAAAGATAGTTAACTTAGTACAAAAAAAAGTTTTAAATAGAAGCAGCTTATATTCCAAAAACTTTAATTTTTATATATAAACTGTATTATGTTACTCTATGAGCTCTCTCTGGTTGAGTAGCAAATCATCAATTAAAATACTTATATTAGCTTTATATACAATATCTAAAATATAATTAATAAATACTAGTATTATTATTTTATTTAAACTTCATTATCATTATATTTAGCTTTAATACACAATTGATTATAATGAAGATAAAAAAAAAGATATTTATAAATAAATCAATTATAAATAGTAATACAAATTAAAAATAGTTAGTTTAGCCCTAATGATTACTTGTACCAACTAATACCAAAAGCAGGTTGAAGACTCAAGATCAGAAGTTAACAACAATTTAAAATTTTTTTGATACAAACTGTTGTTAATGAAGTTTCTAAATATTGTTATAAAATGAGTTTTCTAAATTTCTTATTATTAGTATTATTTAGTATTATTAAATTTTTTTTTGCTTCACTTTGGCAGATCACACTAGTAGCTTTATTTAATCAAGTTACATCCTGTGGAGAGAATCGAATATTAAACTACAGGCCTGATATCTTATAGTTATCTCACATAACATGCGCACAATTTGTCACATCCAATATTTTATCATATGATTTTCATAAATTACACAAATCGACGAATTTATATTTTTTAAATTTTCTTCTAAACCTTAGCCGTAATACATAATGTTTCTTAAAACAAACTTGTTTCTGAAGTTTTTACTAATCAGAAAATATAAAAAATATTAAAAACTAGCTTGCCTTTGTAAAGTAATATAGCTTCAAACCTGTGCAATTTTTTTGTCTTCTTTCACGTGATTCTTTTTCAGTTTGCAAATACCTGCTATAAAAAATAGATCGTTAGGTGCGCCAGAGTGAAAGCTTTCACCAAAATGCATCTGTGAAGGACTGGTACATTATAAACGTAATGGAGAAAATCAAGGAAATTCATTTTACAGTATGTAGATCACTTATTAATCTGACACTTTTACCTTATTCTGCCATGAAAGTTTTTTTTTAAACAATTCAAATTTTAATTGTTATACTGTTTTTAAGCTATTCAGCTT